CATGGCTGCGCTGTGTCACTGCCCTTTTTTTGTGCTAAAATCCAGCATAGCTATGCTGGTTCGCTGCCAATTTTGTGCATATTCATATTGTGCTGAATTTGTTTTTTGGAATCTAGACTTCAAGGGCTACAATGCCGTCAAATTTTAAGGTCCAAGTGTTCCTGGATTTATACAGTCTGATATTGAAGCTGAATCATAATATGACTTTTTGATAGCATGTTTTTCATTCCATAAATAGTCAATTCTCCTCGTGCAATCTGCAAATGAAACTATTTCAAGGAAATATTTTTCCTGAACCTGAACATAAGGAAGCAAGAATATTTTATCAATCATGCATGGTTGTATAGGTCTAAACTATTCAATCCTATTTGTGCTTTTTGCAATATCCAGAGAGATTGTTCACTGCAGTTGTTAATAATGAAGGTGATGTTTGCTTTTGTAATTGATTATTCTACATCAAACAGTAATATATTTAGCACAGTTGCTTTAGGTTTTAACCAAACGGCATGCAGCATCCAACTCCTCTCAATTTAAAAGTATTTTGGACATAAGTTTGGCTTTGAATGTGTTTGACTTAGAGAAAAGGATGTCGAAACTTATATCCAATACAACAAAAACAAACTTAGTGTAATCCCACAAGTAGGGTATGGGAGGGTAGTGTGTACGTAGACCTTACCCCTACCTTGAGAAGGTAGAGAGACTGCTTCTGGTAGACCCTTGGCTCAAGGAAAGGTAGAAAAAAATACAGTCGCAACAAGCAGTAACATCAACAAGATAATAAAAAAAACTGATACTACTACTGATATGGACTAGGAAAATGCTCGACTACCTACTAAACTTCTACCCTAATTCTCGACCTTCACACTCTCCTATCAAGAGTCATGTCCTCGTAAGCTGAAGCAGCGCCATGCCCTGCCTAACCACCTATCCCCAATACTTCTTTAGCTTACCTCTACTTCTCCTCAGACCCACCAAAATCAACCTCTCGCACCTCCTTACTAGGGCATCTGTGTCTCTCCTCTTCACATGCTAGAACCATCTCATCCTCGTTTCCCGCATCTTATCCTCCATGGGTTCACATCCACCTTATCCTGAATATCTTTATTCCTAATCTTATCTATCCTGGTATGTCCGCCCATTCATCTCAACATCCTCATTTCTGCTATCTTCATCATCTAGACATGGGAGTTCTTGACTAACCAATACTCTGCATAGTCGGTCTAACCACCACTTTGTAGAACTTACCTTTAAGTCTTGGTGGCACATTCTTATCACACAAAACACCGAATGCGAGCCCTCCATTTTGTCCACCTCGCTCCAATACGATGTGTGACATCCCGCCAGTCTCCCCGTTTTCTTGAATTACTGACCGAAGGTACTTGAAACTTCCTCTCTTGGGGATGACTTGTGTATCAAGCCTCAAGTCCATGTCTGCTTCATGAGTCACATCACTGAACTTGCACTCCAAGTATTATGTCTTGGTACTGCTCAACTTGAAACTTTTAGATTCTAGAGTCTATCTTTAGACCCCCAACCTCGCGTTAATACCGCCTCGTGTCTCGTCAATTAGTACAATGCCATCTGTAAATAACATGTACCACGACATCTTCCCTTGAATGTAACGCGTCAGCGCGTCCATTGCCAGGTAAGTAAAAATGGGCTAAGAGCTTATCCCTGGTGCAACCCCATCACAACTAGAAGGTGTTCCGAGTCTCTTTCCACTGTCCGCACCCGAGTTTTAGATCCATCATACATGCCATTAATCACCCTAGTGTAAGCTACAGGAACACCTTTAACCTCCAAACATATCCATAGGATCTACCTTAGGACTTTGTCGTATGCTTTCTCTAGGTCAATGAATATCATATGCAAGTCCATCTTCCTCTCCCTATACTGCTCTACCAATCTCCTTACAAGGTGAATGACTTTCGTAGTCGAACGCCCCGGCATGAATCCGAACTGGTTTTCGAAAATAGACACATTCCTCCTCACCCTCTCTTCCACCACCCACTCCCAAACTTTAATACTATGGCTTTGTAACTTGATACCCCTGTAGTTATTGCAATTTTAGATATCACCATTGTTCTTGTACAATGAGATCATTGTACTCCACTTCCATTCTTCGGGCATCTTCTCCGTCATAAAAATGACATTATACAACCTAGTGAGCTACTCCAAGCCTGCCTTGCCCGCATTCTTCCAAAATTTCACCGGGATTTCGTCTGGCTCGCTTACTCTTCCCCTGCTCATCTTACGCATAGCCCCCTCGACCTCAATTTTTATATGCCTACCATACCCAAAATCTCGATGACTCTCAGAGTGCTCCAAATCACCCAGCACAATGTTCTTGTTTCCCTCTTCGTTCAATAGTTTATGGAAGTATGTCTGCTATCTTCGTGGAACTTATATCCAGTAAGTGTTCATTTTGCTTTTCTAACAGTTGATACGTGGTCTAAATGGGTTCACTGTTTTGCAGGGATTAAACTATGTTGCAGCATTATTATTGCTTGTGATGAAAACCGAAGAAGATGCTTTCTGGATGATTGCTGTCCTTTTAGAGAATGTGTTAGTTAGTGACTGTTATACAAAGAACTTATCTGGATGCCATGTTGAACAAAGAGTGTTCAAGGATCTATTAACCAAAAAATGTCCCAGGTACTTTTGTCTTTTCCCAGATGTTCGTCGTTAACATGAATGTAGATTTTTTTTACAAGTTCTGCTGTTTTCTAATACTGATGAGGAAAAATACAGGATAGCCGCTCATTTGGATGCACTGGAGTTTGATGTTTCTCTTGTTTGCACTGAGTGGTTTCTCTGCCTTTTCGCCAAAAGCTTGCCTTCTGAGGTCAACAAATTTAGTCTCTCTTTCTCCTCTCTGTTTGTGCGAGTTGCTATGAAATAAGTCACGCACTGTATGATCTCGTATTGGTTAATGATTCTTGCATCTGCTATTTCATTACAGACAACCTTGCGGGTCTGGGATGTTCTTTTCAATGAAGGTGCAAATCTTCTATTTCATGTAGCATTGGCAATTTTTAAGGTAAATGATTCCTAATATTTTTGTGTTTCACATTTATGATAATGTTTTCGCTGTTATTTTTCTTGCCTCTCGAGTTTTGCATTAGCTTAGAACTGAATTTCAAATGCTAAGATAAGTCCTATAATATGCCAATGACTAGATGAACGAAGAAGAGTTGCTGACTGTGCATCATGTCGGGGATATAATTCATATCATCCAGAAAAGCACTCATCAACTTTTTGATCCCGATGACTTGTTGACGGTAACATATTCTGGCTAGACTCTTGTTTCTATTTATGCTTGAATCAAGTACCTATTTAAAGGATTAAGCTGGGATGCTTTTTCTTGTGGAGTGATTTATTATGCATAAGGATTTAAGTTATATATATTTACCGTAAATAATTTTTGCACCATCAATTCAATTTAACCGGATTTATGTTATCTGTTGTTGTAGGTTAGATTAACTTAATCTGATGGTGTAAAAAAAAAAAAATACATTTTCCGAGCAAAGAACTTAAACTCTATGCATAATGCTAGGGACAACATAATCTTATAATTTTGGAACAAAAGTCTTTTGAATGACCATTTTGTGCCTGAACAATGTCAATCTATTGTAAAAACATTATCTTATATGATTCATTCAACTCCAACAAGAATCATTGTCTTGACATTTTTTTTTTCAGGTTGCTTTTGATCAAATTGGCTTTATGACAACCACTACTATATCAAGACAGAGGAAAAAGCAGGAACCGGCGGTCATGGCAGAGCTTGACCAGAGACTAAGGCGATTAAATTCTATAAATACGGGCGAGGAACAATAGTTTATGAGCGAAACTTAGTAATTGTAGTATATATATATATTTATACAAATGTATCTCTATCAGGGCATGCTGCCCTTTTAGGAAATCAACCTTTTGCTCATAAAGCAATGAGCTAGACAGCAGCTTGGAGAGTCTTGTGGTTTATTTAAGTTGTATGTATGTAGATCTTCAAAGGTGTAAATTTTGAACTGTTGTATTCTAGTTCTTCTTTTTTGCCCCTTACTGTTACCTATTTCTGTTTTGTGTACTTTCAAGAAAGAAATTATGGTACGGTATGCTACTGTAAAAAGAATCTTTTGTTTTTCTTTTGGTTCCTTGAGAGAGATCACAGGTAAGTTCCAAGTGGTCGTGCTTAACACGTATAGGTTCCGAGTGGTTGTGTTGAGCACACGTAGATTTCAAGTGCCGTGCACGAGTAGGTAGTTCCAAGTGGACAAATGGCCGTGCTGAACACGGGTAGGTTCCAAGTGTCGTGCTGAACACGAGAAGGTTACAAGTAGCCGCACGGATAGGTTCCAAGTGTCGTGCTGAACACGAGAAGATTACAAGTAGTCATATTGAAGGTTACAAGTAGTCGTATTGAACACTAGTAAGTTCTTAACACCCAAAAGATATTTACTGATTACTTTCGGCCGATAACATAAAGAAAATTCTTAACACCCAAAATATATTTACAATTAATCTTTCTTAAAAGTGAGTTATACTATCAGACTTCAAAAATTGTACAAGAATTGAAACCTACATAACTTCTTAAATTTACATTTAGGGGTCGTTTGGTTAAGAAATAAGTTATCTCATGATTAATTATTCCGGGATTAGTTATCCTGGGATTAGTTATTCCACCCTCCCATAGGGATAAACAAACACTACAATCTCGGGATTAGTTATACCACCATTTTATCACAACTAAACATGAGATAAATTCATCTTAAATTTAATCCCGAGATTAATTATCCCTTATTCCTCGTACCAAACGAGCCCTTAAAGTGTTGTTATAAATGATATCAAACGGTATAATTTGAACATGTTGCTATCCACATCACTGAAATGGTTCCTTGCAAGGTAAAAGGATCTGACTCTAGGTTTACACCAAACTACATTAGTTTATTATAATTAGTGACCATCATGATCTTAACTACGTCCACTAAAAACTTCCCACAAGAGCAAAATATTGTTGTATAATCACCCCCACGGGAACACAACAAATAGTTTCAAGCACAGTGAAAGACAGAAAACAGGAGTTGTTTAGGATAATCCAGGGTTTGGAGCCAATACAATATATACTACCATTTTACAAAGACAAGCTACACAACACACTTCTTTAACCAAAATTCTCAAGATAGTAACTACTACAGTTGACGGCCAGAAAACAGATGTATGCTATTCTAGGTGTTCTTTTTGCTATCGGAATGTGATACATTTTGGTCAACTGATTGCAATTGGCTTCGAAGATTCTGGTTTTCTTCCAGCAACCGGTCGTATTCAAGCAGCAATTTTTCAGATTGACCCTTGAGAGAATCTGAATTAGCCTTCTGAGATTTTACCTCCTTTTCTTTTGCCTCGTTTTCGGATTCCAGCTGCCTTACCTTGTTCCTCAAGGAGGAGATTTCATCCTTTAGGTTACTGGCTTCACCATTCTTGCCATTGTCCAATGCGCGATCCTGCTTCTTTGCAGCCTCCATTGTCTTCCTGAGTAAGCGAAGCTCCCTTATGTAATGGTGTAGCCTGTCTACCATCAGTCCAAGGAATAGACAAAATCCTGCAAAAAGTTGAAACCATTTGAACTTTGTTATGCAGAAACTTGCTTCAAACAGATAGGCTTAAACCATGTAATCTGAATTTCGCCAGCCAAATATTCGTATGCATGTAAATCAGATTGCAAAAGGCAGTGTGTTATCACATCATATGTTGAATAACATAACATATTTCACCTCTGGAACCTTTAAGGATTTAAAATAAACCAAGCAACTTCTATCAGTCACCATTAAGAATAGAACTCCCTCCACCTTGTATCTAAGTCTCTCTAATATCATATTTTAACAGTATTAGGTGGCAAAAACAGTGCATGTGCCCCAATTTTTCACTCTTTTTACACTGTAAAACACAAAATTTTCATTGTAATTCAGCCACAATCAAGTCAAACATCAAAATTTAGGTGTGTGTGTGTGTGTGTGTGTTACATAGTACCACCAGTGTGGAACAAAAGTTTAAACTCTAGCCAGTTGGAACTCTTTGCACCATATACTCTCTTCTGATTTCTACTATCACATGCCATGCTAGTGCAAAAGATAAATTAAAAATCTTTCTGACAGTTTCTGCATCAGACCCTGGGCTGATATAGAAAGCAACTTATAGGTTCATTGGAACCCGATAGCTTTTGCTCAGACCCTATATATAAAAAAGGGCAGCCCTGTGCACTAAGCTCCCGCTATACGCGAGGTCCAGAGAACGGCCGGACCATAAAGGTCTATTGTACGCAGCCTTACCCTATATTTCTGCAAGAGGTTGTTTCCACGGCTTGAACCCGTGACCAAAGCCTTACCACTTTGCTCTGACCCTATATACGTGTTCGAACCTAGTAAATCAGATGCGCTGTGATAGAATCACGAACTTGAGCCCATAAATGTTCAAATACTGGATTGGCCTCTGGTCACACCTTGAGCACCACCAACTTTTTACCCTGTGAAAGAACTTCTCAAGCAAAATCACAACAGTTCTTCAATTGAATGCTCAGCCCTCAGGCATAAATTCTGATCCACCAAACTAGATGTCTTAATGATACTCTTTTTACCCCCTTCCCCCATGAATTGTGTTCATAAGGTCTTCTCCTTAAGGTCCATCTTCTCCAGTCAAACAATCTCTATGTGCTGAGGAGACGCACATTCAAGCAACTTTACCCATTCCTTTGACAAGTTTGACATCGAATGAGGTGTTTATAAGACATTCGAATGAGGTGTTTATAAGACATTCGAATCTAGATATAAGCTTTTCTTTAAGAATGCTCATTCTGACCGGCGCGGATCTAGCATTTTAATAATGGGTGTAAATTATTTCTGCACCACTTACTATTCTTTGGCTGATGCGGACTCAGGGAGGTTGAATCTTCCCCGGGAAGGAGAGGTCGTAGTACAAGAGAGCTAGCAACCAAAAAAGCTAATTTCCTTATTATATATATATTATACCAAAGAAAGCCAATCTAGACCTATGGACACATGGAACGATGCTTGAAGGTAACTTTTACAGACTCAAACTCTGAAGAAAAACAAAAGAATAACAACAATATTAGAGATGCTTCGCATCCCCACCAGATGTAAACGCATCTAAAGCATTTCATAGCCATCAGGAAGAGCAGCCTTGAAATGTTAACGCAACCAGTGCAGTTATATTCACATGTGGTAATCTTTTTGAGCAGCAACTGAACAATGGGAGGAGATGTGAGTGCATCACTCTAGATGTGTTCGTCTGGCCAATCTAGAAACCTTCCTGAATGTGCAAATTTACTTTGTGTGTATGCACCAGGAATCATCGCAAATGCATCCCCTCTTCTTTTGTTGATCACAGCCTAAATCCTAGTTTGCTATTTTAAGCTTAATTTTCGAAGTCCAATGCCTTATATTATTACCCTAATGGGTGTAGGATCATAGCACTGCTATAAATAGATAGATCTCATCTTCATCCAAAAATATACATATATAGATCTCATTGCAATTAGCAAAAAGACTTTGATGAACTAAAGATTGACGCAAGTGTTAGCTTGAAGAACCCTATCGGGAATTGCCCGCTCCCTTCTTTCTCTACTGCTTTGAACCTTACTTGGATTGCTTTGAAGTATGATTCCTTGCACGAGTTTCCCCTCCATCTTTCTTGTAGGCTATATTCGAGTCTATTCTAAGCATGAATCTTCATTAGTTGGATCAGATACTTGCTTCTGTTAATTCGGTATTGAATTCTTACTTGGATTCTCCGTCTTCTTCTCTAAAAGTTCTATTTAATTCTTCTTGGATAGTAATTACTTAATTGATTATAGCAAGGATTCAAGTCCCTAAAATTTTTGGTTTGTATTCTACACATTGGATCATCAATACTACATATCCTTGTATCCTTCGTTTTCATTTTTGTTGCTTGCTTTTACTCCAGTCTACATCAGTGGCAGTGAGCGAAATTCAATAGAAATATATATTTCTTTAAAAATTGCTCAACTATATATACAGTTCAAGTCAAAGCCAGTGTGCTATGACACCTACAAACAACAACAACAATGACCCAGTACATTCTCACAAGTGGGGTCTGGGGAGGGTGAGATGTACGCAGCCTTACCCCAACCCTGGACGGGCAGAGAGGTTGTTTCTGTCTTTCTGATAGACCCTCAGCTAAAGAAAAGATGAAAGAAGCACTGATATCAAGTAATAACAATACAAGATATTTAGAAAACTGAGACTAAGATAGCAAGATACAAGATGAAAGAAGCACCGATAACAAGTAATACAATACTAGATATGTAGTAATAGCCATCTAAGGTTAAAATAATATCATACTAACACTAATACTACTGGAACAAGAAGACATGGGGAAACACTGCTATGACACCTACTGCTTAAAAACTAATCCGTCCTTGAATTCCGAACCCTTTTGTACTGGAACTTGAGAACTACTTAGCAACCAAGGAATTCTACTTAAACATACCGAATATCTAATTAACTACTCTCTGTCCATTTTAGGTGTGACACTTCCATTTTTAGTGTGTCTTCTAAAGGAACTGACACCTCTCTCTCTATATATATATATATACAAAAATAATTCGACTTTAAACTTTTCATTTTATGTTTGATGAGCTATTTATAGCACACGGATTTCTATGACTTACTCTAGAACACATATTTCAAAAGACTTTCTTTCTCAAACACCAAGTCCAATCAAACACCATCACATAAAATGGGACAAAGGGAAGTAAATCATAGCATCACACTCAATACTAACTTGGTCATTTTGCTCCTAAAAATAACCATAAAAAAGAATTCTACACCCCCCCTCCCCCCCCCAAACCCAAAAAAAAGGGGGTTGAAAAAAATGCAAAATTAAACACACCCATGAATTAATCATAAAAGGAATTCTAACAAACAACCAAAAACACATTAAAAACCTGCACAAAAATAAGAAACATACCCATAAGAGCAGCTTGGAGAATCTGATGAGCAAGAAGGATTTGATCAGTCGGATTAACAGTATCAGTAGGGCGAGACTGCAATTCCCTAATAGAGTAAACAGTGTAAATCATGATCACAAGAACAGTGGCAGCTACAGATTTAACAATCAACGGTCCACGGCCTCGTTTGACTCGATCAAGGGTCATGATTATTAGTTTCCTCAAAGGGGTTTTGAAGAGAAATAACAAAATTAGTGACATTTCTAAGAATACCACCATGAACAGAAGCTGTACTTGTGCTAGCATTTTGATATTAGTACCAAATTAACAGTTTTTTTTGCGGGGGGAACTGAAATTCTGCAAAGTTTCCTCTTTCTTCTGCTGGGTAAGGAGAGTTGGGCAGAGAAATTTGCTATTTGTGGAAAGTGCTGAAAAAGGGGTTGATATTTGAGAAGAGGGTGGCTTTATTGTGGAAGAGTGTAGAGGTGGATTTGTTTAAAATGATACACTTGTTTTTCTGCTTACGCCACCAAAAACTAGCGTCGGCAAGAGCTTTAAATATATTTTCTGAAGCAGTAATCTGTTCTTTCTTTTTATTTTCGTTTCCCATTGGTTTGTGCTTAGATTAATTCAAATTCGCATTAAAAAGTCTTTTTTAGAGGCATCAAAGAGACACCAATCACAAGGCTCAAATTTAAAATATTTATTAAGGATAGTGGGTTATTTACACCTTATCATAAACTTTGATGTTAAATAGGGGCGGAGGCGGAAGTTTAAATACAAATTCAATCGAATTATAAAAGATGTTTTTGTTTAAAAAAAGTATTAAATATGAATACACTTAATTATTAGCCGGTGAAATCTATCATTTTAAAATTCAGTATCCATATCCATAGACTTGAAATCATGACTGCAACCTATTGGGTTTGGCTCCCTTGTTCTAAAAGAACATGTTTTTGACTTTTTGAAAGATAAAAAAAAATGATATAACTAGTATTGTTACATAACATCTTTTTGAAAATGTTTAGAAAAACTATAATCAAATGGAGTATTTGAATGGTAATAGTACACCAAATATAAGGTGTAATAAAAAATTAGTACTATAACAATAATGCTTTTAGAATTTGCAATAAGGTTACTATGAGAAGATTGTCCTACATACATCACAATTGCCTTCTTTTTTTTCTTTTTATATTTTTTGTAATTACACAATGGAGATGTTGGCCAGAAATGGATAAGAATGGAGGACAATAGAAATCGAATTCACAACTATTGTGTGGGAATTCTCATTGATAAGAACAAATTATACGCCTTGGTAGTTTTTTCACATTATTAAGGTGGTAGTGAATTTGCTATCATTCTCTTCTTATTTATTTAACTATTTATATTTTAAGAAAGCTTTACTCAGTGTAGACTAACCTAATTAAAATATTAAAGGAAGTTTCTCGATTTTATGATGTGGGAATTGAATCTTTTGTTCAATTGGTCAAATATTGAAAAGGTGATAAATGAGGAATACTACCTAATGCAATGCTAGAAGTTGCCAGAAAAAGAAGCACTTGTTTGACTGGTGTGTAATCACGTCTATTTTATTCTTGTGCAGGAAGACCCATTAGTTATATGTATTTGTAAAATAATTTTGGAAAAGAAAAACAATGTAAAACCAGAAATGTAAAAGAAATAGAAATTAATTTGAGCTCACTGAATTCATAGTGTTTCCTTAAGGAACTTAATCAACTCCTAATACTCGAGGTTTTGGATTATTTTTCCCTAGAATAGAACAAATTACACACTCGTGTAGCGATACTTCAAACCTCAGTGTTTCAGCGAACACAAATAGCGGCAGCAATCACACTTACTTTATAGTTATTAGCCATTTTTGACAGTTCAAATCAAATGAAAACCAATAGCTGAATAAATTGAAATAGAGTAAATAAACTAAAATGACGGCGATATCCCAGAACTGGTATCACAAATACACGAGCGTCTAGAGTACTACAAATAATAGTCTGAATAAAAGCATAATTGCCCGAATCGAAATAAACAGCTAAGGTAATGTAGAAGGAGACTTTAGGGATGTGAACGCTGTGCTATTGTACCTCAACTCTCCATCAAGCACTGGATTCGAGCAATCTACTGACCGCCGCTAGGACCAACACCAAAATCTGCACAAGAAGTGCAGAATGTAGTATGAGTATAACCGACCTCAAGTACTCTATAAGTGCCGAGCCTAACCTCGGCGAAGTAGTAACGAGGCTAAGGCGGGTCACTTACAATAATCTGTATGCAGTAACAATAATAATAACATGGAAGGAAACAGGAAATGACGGTAAAGCAATTAATTTATGAAAATGAGCTCAATCCTCGCAATCAGAGAACCCAGAATACCTGATCTCGTAATTTCATATAACAAAGCTGGAACCCAATACAATAACAACAACGAATACAACATACACAATCCGTTGCGGCGCGCAGCCCGATCCCACCGTACACACACAATCCTCCCTTATTTCACCATATATTTATTTATCTATATCAAGAATCACATATAAAATCCGTTGCGGCGCACAACCCGATCCCACTATATCATCATAATTAGTGTCATAATCCTCCCTTATTTCACTATGTCACAATTTATCAATAACAAGTATTGCGTACACAACCGTTGCGGCGTGCAACTCGATCCACAAATAATTTCAATAAATGTAATCAATCCAATAGCTCAATTCACAAGAATCTCTACGATTAAAGAATGTGAAAGCAAAGCAATAAAGGAACCATGCACTAATCAAAGGAATGCTACAAATAATAAAATAACAACAAGACAAGTCAAATGCGTGACAGTTAAGGAGGACAAGTAAGACAATTAAGGTAAGTAGCAATTAATTATGGAGTCATGGAAGGAACGAACATTTCAATACAAGAATAATTAATGACAAGTGACAAATTACGGCATAGAAAGCAATTAAAGCATATAACAGTTAAGACATAAAATAAGATAATTCATAAAATATGAGAAAAGCATGGAAATAATTATTTTGACGGCGTATATACACTCGTCACTTCGTATATACGCCGTGTCACATGTAATTCACATAACATATAGTTCAAGGGTTCCTAATTCCCTCAAATCAAGGTTAGACCCAACACTAACCTTGCTCCACAATCAAATCAAAGCTCAACCGGGCTTTTTCTCTAAAATTCACTTCCAAACCAATCTAATCTAACTAAAATTAATATCATCAAACAATGCTAGGGAAATCAATTACAATAGATAAAACAAAGATCTTTACACTTTTTTCAAAAAGTCAACAAAAGTCAACACCGGACCCGTTTGGTCAAAATTCGAGATTCGAACCAAAACTCAATTACCCATTCACCACCGATCCCGATTATGTGATTAGTTTCTAAATCCAACCTTAATTTGAGGTATAAATCTCAATTTTACAAAAACTCCCAATTCTATCCAAATCCCTAATTTTCTACCATGAAAGAGCATAAATTAAAGGTTAAAAATCAATGGGTGTTGATGGAAATGAAAGAAAACGAGTTAAAATATACTAACCTACGAAGCAGGGATAAAATTTCTCTTCAAAATCGCCTCTAGGCTGAGCTCTAATGTGAAGATGGTGAAAAATGAAGAAAATCCCGTATTTGGGATACTTTAAATCATTGGCATCAGGCCTTCATCGCGTTCGCGAAGGACCTGACATGATCACGAAGCACTACAGCCCAAGTGGCCATCGCGTTTGCGATGGCGCTTCCCCCTGGCCATCGCGTTCGCGACCCTTTGTCGTGTTCGCATAGAACACCTAGCTGCTCCCCTCCCAGACCCCTTACTCATCACGTTCGCGAGTCCTTCTCCGTGTTAGCGAAGAAGAAATCCTCCCCAGTCTCCAGTTACCCTTCACGATCGTGAGAGTAGCTTCGCGATCGCGAAGAAGGTTGTACCGGATATCAGAAATCTCAGAAGCCAGCAATTGCCTAAGTCCGAAAATCACTCTGTAGCCTATCCAAAACTCACCCGAGCCCCTCGAGCTCCAAACCAAACATGCACACAGTTGCAATAATATCATACGAACTTGCTCGCGTGATCAAAATAACACCTAAAACTATGAATCAGATATCAAAATGAATAATATTTTTAGAGAAACTCAAGAACATGCAAATTTACAACCGGAAGTCTGAATCACGTCAAATCAACTCCGTTTTGCACCAAGTTCTAGAACCGAAATCCGAATCTGGTAGCAACAAAGTTAACCTACGGTCAAACTTGGAAATTTTTTAAGCCTTCAAATTACTAGTTTTCAACAAATTACGTTAAATCAAGTTAGGGACTTCCGAATTCGATTTCGTGCATACGCCCAAGTCTCAAATCACGATACAGACCCACATGGACCTTCAAAATACTGATTCGTGTCTATTTACACAAAATATTGAGCGTAGTCAACTCAAATCATTTTAAGGCTAAATCTCACATTTTCTTCAAATTTTCACATAAAAATATTTCGGAAAAAGACACGGACTACACATGCAAATTGAGGGAGGCTAAATGGAGCTATTCAATGTCTCGGAACACATAAATGAAGGCTAAAACTCAAAGTGACCTATCGGGTTGATAAGTGGGGATTTGACTGCTTATTAGCACCTTTTAACTTTTGTTTTAGTCCTAAAGTATTGAATTGTGTTCCTGAAACTAATGAAATTGTGCAAATTGTAGGAATGCTCAAAGTTTGGTCTCCCATGATGAAATCTGACTAAAAAAGGAGTGTTCTGAAGCAAAAAGCAATAAAGGGCGCAGAAGTAAAGATGTGCGGTCCACAGAAGGAATTTTGCGGTCGCAGAAGAAATTACGGATAACAGAATTCCATCTGCGTCCGCAACCCAAGTAGCAAAACCCAATAGGCTTTTCAGTAATATGCGGACCGCACATGAATTGTGAGGCCGCAGGACTGGGCTTTCACTGACTAAGATTCAAAGTTACGAGAATATACAAGAAGACCAAGTCTTAAAGCCTTTGTGAAGTGCGGACGACACAAGAAATGTGTGGCCGCAGAAGTTGCCTTGCGGCCGCAGTCCAGAAATGTGCGACCGTAGAATCATCCTTCTTACCCACTGAAGAAATCTGCGGACCGCACATGGAATTGTGCGGCCGTAGAACCTCCCGAGGGGTATTTTTGTCTGTGATTTTTGGCCTTGTATAGATAGATAAGTTTCACATAATTAGGTCAAGTTTGAACATTAAAAGTTGTTGTAGCCTTTTCTTTTTACTACTGTAAGAAGTTTTACATTATTTTGGTGTTTAAACATTAAATTTCATCATTTTAATCTTTCATTATGGGTTTAATTAGCTTTTCTTCTTTATTTTCTTCAAATCCCATTATGAGTAGCTAGTTACTAGGGTTGTGACCCAACCCTAGTGTGTAAACCTTATGGGTGATTAATTTTATGCTTGTTTATGATTGGGTGTTGAATATTTAGCTTAGTTCATGCTTCAATTTTAGAATTAATGGTTGCAAATATTGATTCATGCCT